TATATATATTATTCATAGATAGATAGACAGATGGACGGATAGATCCCTGATCATGAGTTGAAGGTCACAGCCGTGAAAAACTCCACCCTGAAGAACAGGAGCATTTACTTTTCCTCCATTGGAAGACTTTACGTTCGTAGTAACTCCTGCAGCTGGAGGATTTCCAGCTGCTTCACTAGATGAGGCTGAGCTTTCAGCAGAAACACCTGCTGAAACTGACGGAGAGACACAGAAAGAGAGAAACTCAAAATGTATGATCATTTGGGTCAAAATTACAAATGCACATAGTGTCAACATCTAGTACCTTCCTGAAGTTTTCTCTTCAGTTGATCAGCAAGATCATTCTGTTTAATTTTGCGTAGCACTCAGACTGCGATCTTCCCGGCGTCTGAACCTCTGTATCGCTGCACCATGAGATCCACAACTTCGCGACAATCAGCTTTTTCCAGCTTTCCTCGAGGAATAGGCTCTGTTGTCATCTCATTCAACAGGTGCATTTGAGCTCATCAAACTCTTTTTCCACAAGTGCCTCACAAATAACTGTTTTGACTGTACCCATTATTGTGTCACTATATAGGTCTTGATTGACTTGGGAACATGATCCCAAAAGCTCAATGATGTCCAAAAGACTCAGCTGTGAAGCAGGTATAACCAGCACAGTTTAAGCTGTTTCTGTTTTTTTCTTAGCAGGAGAATCGGTAGGCTGTCACTTAATTTAATATAAACATTTATGTAATATGCTTAAAGGACAGAACTATGGCACATAAGCCACATGAACAGTCCTTTTCTATTAGAGTTAAAGCATCTCATTTGCAACACTGAATGTCAGGTCAAGACTGTTATACTGAAGTTGTCCAGTAAACGGAGGATCAGGATAAATAATAACACACACGTACTTAAATGGCCTTAAACCATCAGTTTTGTACAAACCGCGTCTCATCTCTGTGTGTGGAGTCACGCCAAGCTCACCAAGTACTAAGCGAAGGCACATGTAAATGGATATATAATAAATATTTCATTAAATGCTAAACATGTGAAAAAAAAGGCTGTAAGAATCTGACCAATCAGAGCAGAGCAGGTGCTGATGCTGATGCTGCAGAGTATATTGTGGAAAATAAAGGTGTTTTTTGACCTTGGATGCATGTGACCTATTGCAGGAGACCTCCAAAACAAAATTAGGATCCTTTAAAATAGTATAATAGGGGCACTTTAAATCATTGTCTGCACATGCGTACGAAACAGGTGCTTCTTTTCCGTACACGGTGAATTCAACAAGGTGCAAATTGCAGGTATTACAAGAATAAATGGCTGAATCTGTGCTTACAGCTGTTTTTAATGAATATGCGCTACAAACATTGGCAACTCCCCTTCTCAGGTGCTGCCCAATTTGACAAGGAAATATACATACATGATTTTCCCGAAATAAAAATGTTGCTGGTCATAGTCATTCACAATCCAGTATCATTAGAAAGCTGCCGATTTATAGTTTTATTTAAGTTCAAATACACTGTAAGCATAATTTGTATTTGGTATCATGTATAAATATGTATGTGGCTGTATAAGCCTAAAAACACAATGATTTAGAAGCCACAATCAGCTTTCATTTCAAACCTGAGGATGTAAATACTAAAATCATTGTTATAAGATAAGACATGTGCTTGAGCATTAGCTGAAGTTCATTGGGCCGTTAAACACACCGCCGTGAATAACAGGGGCCTTCACGGTTCCTCCACTGGAGGAGTTTATGGTAACGTTAACTCCTGCAGTTGAAGCGTTTGCAGCCGTTGCACCGGATGAAGCTCCACCTTCAGCAGAAACGTCCTCTGGAACTGATGGAGACATACAGATAAACTCAAAATCCAATTTAGATCAAATATTCATAGATATAGATAACAAAAAGTGTCAAAAAGTACCTTCCTGAAGTTTTCTCTTCAGTTGATCAGCAAGCTCATTTTGATTAATTTTGTGCAGCACTCTGACTGCGATCTTCCCGGCGTCTGAACTTCTGTACTGCTGCACCATGATAGTCACAGTATCATGGCGATCAGCGTTCTCCAGCGTCCCCCGAGGAATAGAGTTATATTGTGTCCCACCATTTGACAGGTGCCATTTGAAATCTTTGAACTCTTTTTCCAGTAGCTCCTTAAGTGCATCAAGAATCGCTATTTCGGTTGAAGCCATTTTGTTTCACTATATAGGGAAAATATAACAAATTAAATTGTTTGTGTGGTCCTAGCAGGGGAATCAGTGTATTGTCATTTCATTTATAAACCTCATTTGCAACTGAGAATAAGGCTGCCACCTTCAGTGTGGAAAAATAAGAGACACCCATTCACACTGATTATTTCAACAACAAAACAGAACAAGTAGGCTATGTAAACATTCAACAGAACACATTTGGTTATTTCATTCATTCCTAAAGAACTCCTCCAGGATATATCTGTGTGCTTTAAGCAGTCTGGATCCATTTATCACCTTTTAGATGAATCCTGCACAATCTGCAGCTTTTACCTGGATGGGATGGGATTTTTAATCAGGACTACATTTTAAATATTTGTCCCATTTTTAACTAAATTAATAAACTTCATAAATTGTATATGACAGGATTATTCATTATGTAGCCTATGAATGATAAATTAATAAATAACATTATTTATAATCTTAACATCTACCAAGCTCTGATAATGTAGGCCTACTTTATAAAAAAAAATATATATATATATGCATGACTTCAAGCAGGAGTTAAAAGAAAAGAAAAAGTAGTCAAAGAGAATAAAATGCCTACATCTATGTGTTTATTTCTCTGGATTTTGGTGAGCACACATTTTGCTATGTGTATAAATGGCTGTATATGTAATTCGATGTGTACTGATATTCCAGTGAGAGAAAACGCAAGCTCAGTTCTTTAGCAATGACATACTGATACAATAACATGTATATGAGTCCCATATATTCATATTGTTAGATGATGATAATGAGATAAAAATATTTGTACTTTATATTTAAAAATTACCTCAAGTTAGCATCAGGTAGCTAGTTAGCTGGCCAGTTAGCATCAGCTAACAATATTTTTCAAATAGGCTATAATTTTGTAATTCATAATTATTGATTATATTGTTTTTATTTTTAATACGCTATAACTGCCTGTAGTCTGATTTTGCTGTAAATGTATAAATCAAAGTGCTTTTTCAGACTGGGGGCATTTTACCCCACCTGTGTAATATTCAAACTGGTACTGTGAATACTGTTAAATAAAATAAAAAAAATTCTAAAATAAGTATAAGCTTATTTTCACTACAAGACCAAAGCTGTTTAATTTACACCTCGAGAGAAAACGCAAGCTCAGTTCTTTAGCAATGACATACTGATACAATAACATGTATATGAGTCCCATATATTCATATTGTTAGATGATGATAATGAGATAAAAATATTTGTACTTTATATTTAAAAATTACCTCAAGTTAGCATCAGGTAGCTAGTTAGCTGGCCAGTTAGCATCAGCTAACAATATTTTTCAAATAGGCTATAATTTTGTAATTCATAATTATTGATTAGTTTGTTTTTATTTTTAATACGCTATAACTGCCTGTAGTCTGATTTTGCTGTAAATGTATAAATCAAAGTGCTTTGTCAGACTGGGGGCATTTTACCCCACCTGTGTAATATTCAAACTGGTACTGTGAATACTGTTAAATAAAATAAAAACATTTCTAAAATAAGTATAAGCTTATTTTCACTACAAGACCAAAGCTGTTTAATTTACACACCTCCCGAGTCGAACCTACTGGCCTACAGATATTAATATACTGTCAGCGCTTATCACGCGACGCACATGTGCAGATGAACTTCTCTACTACTTATTGTGAAATTGATTTCATTTGCTATTAGTATTCTCCACACTGCGAAATCCTTGTGTTTATTCAGCTGTGTGTAGGTCTATGTAAAACCTTTAAATATGGGTGCAACCCTAGCTGTGCATGACAGATCAAGACTGTAATACTAAAGTCGAGCACTAGAGGTTAGGGTTAGGTTATCAGGTTAAGATATTTAATATTTGTGTATATTTCATGTTGCATCAGGGTGAATTGCTACTTATTTCCTAATTTCCTTTTGAACTGGCATGTATTTTGTATACTTCAAATCAGTAGAGATTCAATATTCATAATATATGTGGAAAGATATATAGCAGCTTTATCTCCAAACCATATGAGCTATTGGTGCTTGGACCCCGATGACTATGACTGCCTTTGAGTTTATAACTTAGTTGTAAAAACGAGCCCTGAAAGGCGAGGTGAAATCCTTTGCACATATTTGAACAACTCACGCCTCAATTACAGACAAATATTTGTCAGAATAGAGAATGTGGTTTGTATGTTGGTTCCAAACGTGTAATTTTAAAGATGAAAGGCACATCAGCTACCTTTCGTTTGAAACCAACACCAACACATCC